TAGTGGTTGAAAGAACAACATTTCGAGTTTTATCACAGGTTTGATATTCAAATCCCCCATGCACGCGAAATACATAACCCTATGATTTATACACGCAAAATACGTTTGTTACGCTGAAGTATAATGATATGATATTTTTATTAAGTATAATACGCTGATGTAGTATTTATAGACTTTTCAAAGGCTTTTGACCTTGTCTGTCATAATATTCTATTAACCAAACTTTACAAATATGGTGTCCATGGAGACTTGCTAAATTGGTGTAGAGATTATTTAACAGAACGTCAACAGCGTGTTGTAGTGAAAGGAGAGGCTTCCGACTGGTTAACCGTAACCTCTGGTGTCCCACAAGGTTCTTTGTTGGGACCATTATTCTTCATAGTCTACATCAACGATTTACCAGGGGGTAATTAGTAAGGACAGTTCAATTGCTCTGTATGCTGATGACAGTAAAATGTATAGGGTTATTAGTACTCAAGAAGATCTGTCTACTTTTCAAAGTGACATCGACAAAATTTCAGATTGGTGTAAGATGAATAAGATGAGAATTAATACCAAGAAATCTAAGATCATGCGAATAACCAGGAAAAAGTCACCATTAGTTGGGGAGTATAATATTGAAGGTCAACGTTTGGAAAGTGTTGATGTGTATAAAGATTTAGGATTATTTACTACTAGTAATCTTTCATGGAACCAACACGTATATAAAATAACTGCTAAGGCTAATAGGGTATTGATACCATGAACACACTTTATTGTAGTCTTGTGACACCTTTATTAGAATATTCATGCGAAACTTGAACCCTCATACTAAACGTAACATTGATAAACTGGAGGCTGTTCAGCGAAGAGCTACCAGATGGATCACTAGGTCTGATGATGATTATGATACCAGACCTATCTAAGCTAAAATTGTTGTCATTATCTAATAGGAGGTTCACTAGAGATGTTACGTTTTTTTTTAATGTAATTAATGGACATTATGATATTGACATTTCAAATAAGCTCATATTTTGTAAGGACAGAAATACAGGTTATAACTTGAGGAAAAATGACACACGGGACCTTGTTCCAAATTTTAGTAGAACTGATGGTTTTAAATATAGTTTTTTTCAACCGTGTTGTAGATGAATGGAATGGTTTACCCAATCATATTAGAGAATCAAACAGTATTGCAACTTTTAAAAGAAATGAGTTAAGCTTTATTAAGGATAACTAGAACATTTATATGTCTATTTGTATATATTTTTCTTATATGTTAATTAGTGGGGGCATCCCTAGTATGGCGCATTGGTGCTTTTGGTTGTCTCCTTCTCCACAACTTTTTTTTTTGTTTTTTTGTTGTTGTTTTTTTGTTAAAGTAGTGTTAGCTTATTTCATTTCATTATTTGCTTGTCATGCAGTGGAGTGAATCTGTAATAAATCTATAAGACGATAGTAAAAAAATATCTATCAAATTACACTTAGAGGTCGTACGTGGTCATTGAAAACTATTGCGCACTTTAGCTTGCGATTCTCACGGCCGGTGTGTCCTTCTTTCTTAGGATTTACCAAAGCTTTTCCTTTTCCAAGGTAAGCTAGACTAATTGTGATCCACAACGGCACCGTAGTACAACAAGTACAAGGTTAAAAAAGTGCAGACTTTGGAATCAATCAGCCCTGAACAAGATGTTATCTCTTCTCTCATGACCAGTTATTATTTTTCACATGCTCTTCCGTCTCATTGGAGGACGGGCAGAATATTCCGAAGCAAAGCGACATTAAGAAATCGAGTGTTGAAACATGTGACAAAAAAAAACAAGTGTTTGACTTATTTTTGAAAGCGGCTAACAATATGGTATTCTTTGCGTATAGCCGAAAGTGCACTTATGTCGGGTAAACGAAGGAGAAGAGTGTTTTTCTTTTTCTTATAACGTGATGCTTTAAATAAATTCATGCTTTATGTTGTTTTAGTACGGTCTGCGACAGGGCGCTAGAAATAACACCGCACGGCACGGAAGAAAAATAAACATGATATGATGCATTTGAGTTAAACCAGTCCATTGGCGGTTAAGCTCTTAGTTCTACTCACTTGATAACACAAGTATTGTTTGTGAGTAAAATTTAGTGGTTGAAAGGAGGAACATTTCGAGTTTTATCACAGGTTTGACTTTGAAATCCTCCATGAACGCGAAATAACCTTATGATTTTAAAAATAAAAAAAAAGTAATGAAAAAAGGGCATATATTCTTAAGAATACAGCATGTTCGTTTTGTCTTATTTTTTTTATATTTCTATGTATCATATAACCCAAAATCTGGGTGACGTCACCACGTTGTTTACAAGTGTGAAGTGATATCGATCAATATAACCACTCTCATTGGTTAATGCGCGGAACGTTCCGCTGCAGACCCGTATCATGTTACTTTAAGACCCTTTCAATAAACCCACTATTCCAAAAAAACATGATAAAATTTGAAAGTACAGATTTAAATGGAGAGGTACAAATTTAAATGCAGATCTGTTTAAAGGATGATAGATTTAGAAGCATTTCTAGCCACTTTAGGACGCATAAATTTAAAGTTTCCCCAAAGAAAAATATCGCTGGACTCCCTTAACATGCTTACTCTCATAGATTCGATTCTCTCTTGATTCGGATTCACGATGGTCAGAAGTGGGTGTTTTTCCTCCCACATGGCTCATTAGAGACACATAGATGATTGTAAAATATTCCGAATGATACGAAACTTGGCAGGAACATAGTAAAAGAAAGTCCACATGTATTGATGGTAGTTTTATACTTTTGACTGACAGCATGAGGTCATAAGTGACGTTGAAACATGGCGCTAAAATTTGGAATTAATTATTTAACTTAAATAACTTTATAAATAAAATCTATAAAAAAAACGGAGCTTTCTGGTGAAAACCCCACTTAAATCAGTTAAATTGTTGCAAAGTTAGAGCTAGTTAAAGAAATTCAAATTTCCCGCCAAATGTATGGAATTAACCATATATGGTCAAACTTTAGGGGTATTTAAACTCCAGCTTATTAAACGAAACAGTAAGGGAACTAAGCGAACCATGCATAAAAGCAAATTTGTAGTTTTTTAAATTTGGGACATGGGGTGTCAGGTTGCATGTTACGTCATTTCA